ATGGTTAAAAAGCCAAAAGGTAGATAAAATCACAAATTGTGGTACAGATATGAATGAGAAATTGTGAAACTAATTATCAAAATGAGGAAATCAAAACAGACATATTTTCATCAATGATTTTTACCTCCCCAAAAGCACCCTTCCCTATCATTGTCAGTAACTCAAAATCATCAACACCCATTTTGTGCCTCTGAAGACGCATATATTCAGTTTCCTTCTTCTCTAAAAATTTTAATAGGTTGCTTTGATCCTCCTCTGATACATCGGCATCAGCTAGCTTCTGTTCAAGTAAGTTTCGACTGTTTGAGCAAAAAAATTCAAAATAGTGTTACATGTACCCAGGAGTAGAAAATGGTGAATTTATACAACAGTACCAATCTGAAGTTATGTCAAAAAGCAACTAAAACTCCAAAAGAGAGCAATACACTTTAGTATACAGATAAGAAAAAATCAATGAAAGGCAAAAATTCATGTTTCCTGATTCTAGTTAAAATATTTCCCATAGTAACAAATAATAATAAAAAAAAGTTGCGAGGAGAAGTACATCGATCTCAATCTTTAAACTTTTTGAAACTTGCGATATCTGCTCATGGGTGCTAATGAACATTGACCTTACATATCGGACATAAAATTTTAATACCATTTGCCCCAGGTGTTCTTAAATAACTGTTCAAATGCTATAGTTGCTTACTGCTTTTGAGTGTATTAGTTCTCAAAAATATAAGTGCCTAAATTAATAAACATTGGGTAGGTACCAGTTTATGCCTTTCCATTGATATGCAAGTGCTAATTATACCGTGTACTGTTAAGTTGTGAAAATCTAGTGAATACAAAAATAAGAAGCATGAATTTTCAGGTCATGTGCCATACCGCTCTTTCCTCTCTTGCAGATTCTTCATCTGCGTCTTGTAATGATTTTCTATGTACTGCTTCGCTGCTGCGGCTCTCTGTTTAGTGAGATTCGAGGCTTCCTCAGAAGAAAGCGGATTTGAATCTTCTATTCCACTTCCCATTGAATCCTTCTTACTTGACGACCTCAAGCGATCCTGTGATTGAAACTTCTGGAACCAACTCCTCGCTGAATCCATGAACTTCTTTCCCTCTGGTTAAGAGGCACTACATAGACAGGACAGCAACCTAACCAAGTCTCATTTTAAGTTGGCACGATTCATTTCATCCCCAATTTCAGAACCTTCCTATAACAAAAACATAACTTTAGTACAGTTTGTCTAATAAGGAACGATGTATAAAATACCAAAAACAAACATATATTATACTTGTCTAGAAATCAAAATATATCAATAACAAGAGATCGTATACATATTCATAAAATTTGGAGAGCTATAAAACTAAGGATTATTGCATTTTACAAAAATGAAACAAAGCAGAATTCGGTAAAGTTCAAAAACCCATAATTTTCTAATAAGTGGAGCAACTTCAGAAAAATGCTATTGAAATCAATACTAAGCCCCAGTTTCATCACCATTTTTTTTTTCAAAATACATTTTTCTCTTTCTTCTCTTCAACCACGCATTCTTCAATAAATAATATTACAAGCACCCAAAAAAAATTTCTTATATTTTTGACTACTTCAATCTACTATTTCAAAATGCACTCCACAACGAAAATGGGGCTCAAACGGGCCTTAACAAATAGAACGAATCAAATTCAGGAAGGAACCCAAAAACAGACAAAAGAAGAATGTATATGATGATGATCATGGCAATACATCGAATTCCAAGAAAGATTTAAAAAATAAACATCCCCGATACAAAACATGAAAATTTAACGAATCAAATTCCACAAAATTTCAAACTCACGTTGTATCATCAAATTTACAGTATATAATTCAATTCATAAATTTTATTAAACAGCGGAGAATAAGGTTCAATAAAAATGGAGAAAAGAAGTATCTGAAAAGGCAAAGCAATAGGCAGAATGAACGGCCTACCGCCAAATCTTAGTTTCGGAGAGAGAGAGAGAGACACGGTCCGTGAAATGCAACAGCTAATGTGACGTAATAAATATTATTATGTATAAATAAATATATATAGAGCGAGAGAGAGAGAGAGTGTGTGTGTGTGTTACCGCCATTTTCGAAGGTTGGAATTGGCGTGGAAGCTATGGTGACTTTTGCATGATCCCTCTAGTTGTTGAAAATTATTGAGTTAAAAATTATGGGTGAATTTCACAAATGGTCACTGAACTTACGTAAAAATAATAAAATGGTCACTGAAGTTCAAAACTTGTAGAAACGGTCACTGAAATTTCATGCACTTTCACAAACAGTCACTGGAGGACCGTTATGCCTTTAATTCAAATATAAAGGACCAAAGTGAGCTAACCCGGATTTTGACAGTTTTTAGGTGTCAACTTTGGACCACCATAACTCCGTCCTCCGGTCACCTTTTGCCACGAACCAATATATCAAATTGAAGCCCTCAACGCCCTCTTAACAAGCCACCCAACTACTGGGCGTGATCCTGTCTGAATTGGCCGAAAAATCAAGCCAAAGTGAGCTACCCGAATTTTGGACAGCTTGGAGGTTCCAACTTTGAACCACCATAACTCCATCCTCCGGACACCTTTTTCCACGGACCAATATACCATATTGAAGCCCTCAATTCCCTCTTCCAGAAACATCCAACTACTGGCTGTGATCGCATCGTAATTGTCCGAAAAATCGCCCCAAAATGGGCTACCCACACACAGCTTGCTGTCCAAAAATCCGGCTGTGAGTGGGTAGCTCACTTTGGATCCTTTTTTCGGCCAATTCCGACGGGATCACGACCATTGGTTGGGTGGGATTTGAAGAGGGAATTTAGGGCTTCAATTTGGTATATTGGTCCGTGGAAAAAGGTGGCTGGAGGATGGAGTTATGGTGGTCCAAAATTAGCACCTCCAAACTGTCAAAAATCCGGGTAGCTCACTTTGGCTCTATTTTTCGGCCAATTACGACGGGATCACGGCCAGTAGTTGGGTGGGTTGTTACAAGGGCGTTGAGTGCTTCAATTTGGTATATTGGTTCGTGGCAAAAGGTGGCCGGGGGATGGAGTTATGGTGGTCCAAAGTTGGCACCTCAAAACTGTCCAAAATTCGAGTTAGCTCACTTTGATCCTTTATGTTTGAACTAAAGGCATAACGGTCCTCCAGTGACCGTTTGTGAAAGAAACTTGAACTTCAGTGACCGTTTGTGAAAGTGCATGAAATTTCAGTGACCGTTTCTGCAAGTTTTGAACTTCAGTGGCCGTTTTGTTATTTTTGCGTAAGTTCAGTGACCGTTTGTGAAATTAACCCTAAAATTTATTTGTTATTTAGAGCCAGTCTGGGCACATTTTATCGTAAAAATGAATTTTGAAATAATAGATCGACGGGAATGCAGGGTTAAAAAATTTCCTTATTTTTTAAATTTACATGTAATATTATTTTATTGAAACATGTGTGATTGAAAGAGTGTAAAATATATTTTAAAAATAATGAAAATCAAATAAGAACTTAATTGAATAAAAAATTACTTTTAATAATTGAATTACTTTTACATGGTTTCATAAAAAAAGAAATTACATATTTCCGTCCTTTATTTTTATATTTTTTTTTCATTTTAATTGCATTATAGGTATCTCAACATTTTTTTCACTATTGTACTTATATTCATGACTCTTTTGATTGCATCTCTATCTTCAACTTTTCTTTAATTTTTTTTTTTTGTCTCGTATGACAATTTATATCAAAAAAAGTTGTACATAAGATTTATTCATCTCTTGCATTTTTTTTCCTCACGACCTCAAATATTAATTTCAACAGCATATTCATAATCGGTACTATTCCTCACATTATTGCTTTTTACAAAAGGTAATTTATACAAAAAATCTCATATCATTTGTTTATTTTGTGCAAACCATCTATATCCTTTTAATTTGACACATTTCATGTTTGGATCAAATATTACTAAAATCGTTCCTACCGTCGATTTTCTCCGTTAAAGGCTTGTGAAATGACGAATTTACTCATCTTTAATAATCCAAAAGAAAGAAGAAAATAAAGAAATAATTGCATACATGGTCTCAAAATTTTAAAAAAAAGTACAAATGATTCCCACTTTAAACAATTTTAAAAAAAAAGAAAGATCATTTTTTTTTTCTCCAACTAACCTCTCCTATCCCTACTTAACCCCGTCCACCCAACACCACCCAAAAATTATGTTATCTTTACGTTTTTAAATTGAGAGAGGGGAGTAGGATTACAATACACTCAGTACACGGATATATAGTATAAGTAAAGAGTAAAAAAAATTCTAAACAAAAAAAATAAATTCAAAAATGCTTCATCTTCTCCGACTATCCAAATCCGCACCCCGCCCACCCCCTAACCCATCTTCAACTTATTGCTTACCATGTGCCTCTATCCTAGGGACGTTTAGAAACGGCCTCGAACATGATTACAACAAAAAATACTTCAAAGAAACGGTTCTATGCGCATGTTTGTTTCTGATTTCAAGCAAAATTTGTACTGTTGCTACAGTGTTATAGCTACAATATTTTACTTCTTTGTGTCATAGTGGGTCCCACAATTTTAAAAAAAAAAGATCAAGAAAAGCATTTTCTTGTTGAAATAATTGGAAACAAACATGGGCTTTATATATCGAATCACGATTTCTCAAATTTCGAATGTATACAATCTCCTATTATACTAGTCTCTCTTAACGATATAGTTTAAACGAACAGATCATAATACCTGTGTATATAGAATTGACCCACTAAAGGAGAACGTGCCCACATGCTAATGTTTGGGAAAATAAGAAAAGAAAAAGAAAGGTGGGCAGGGTAACGGCTAAGCTAAGAGTGAGATTTAGACGAAATTACCCTTCAAAAGTGCAGTTTGAAAATAATGGTTACAAGATAGAGACAAGATCTCTGTTTTGAATAAAAGGCATCGATTACGAGGAGACATATATTTCACATGAATAAATAAATGAACAATTCCAAATTTCTCTGATAGAGATGGAGACGGAGACGGAGACGGAGACAGGGAGAAGGTTTTGTCTGCTACTGAGTCGACTCGTTCTTCTTCTTTTTGTTTTCTTCGCAAAATCGTCTTCTGCTCAGCACCGAGCACCAGGGTTTCTCTACACCAGAGCAAGAGGAAGATGCACACCCCAGTAACTCTCTATCTCTGTCTATATCTCACTTACACGTTCGAGTTAACTCAACGACTAACAAATTTGATTTTATGGTAGGTACTGGAGCAGCAGGACAGAGTCATGGCCGAAGATGGTGCCTCAGATGTCGACGGTGTCCAAAGTGTTCGGTTCGCGGGCGTTCGAACGATACAGATACGATCTGACGCTGCTGGAGGCTGCGGGGAGGAATGACGACGGAGATAATGTATTTGCGCGGCTGGTGAAAGAGTCCACGGCGGCGCTGCTGAATTCATACGCCAGAAAAGGGTATCCTTACGCGGCGTGGGAAGTCAAGACTTTGGTTATACAAGCTTTGGTTTCAAAAGAGGCTGCGTCCGTTCAAGCCCAGAAGTTTTCCCAGGCCAATCAGAATTGCACTGGCTACTAGTTTAGATTGGTTGCTAAAGATCTAGTTACTTTGAAATTGAACATGACGAAATGGCAACATTTATGTAGCCGACCCAGAATGTACTTTTGGCATAATTACTAGCCAAAGTTAAAAAGTTTCATAGTCTTGTGTACATTTTTGCAGAATTAATTTTTAGTTTGTTGTTTTAATTTCTAATTTTGTGAATTTGATTTGATATCGAGAGCTGAAAATATGTTTTATTCCTAGAAAAGATCGATTGAGACTCCCTCCACAATTTCATGAAGATCTCTATCCAAAGACAAGCGAGGTCTTTCGATCAGCGTGCGTGATAGCATCTCGAAAAAAGGAAGGTCTGGTCCAGGCCATCTGCAGCTAAGTTCAGGAGCTCCCAGTTCATTAATGTCATTGCACGACTTGGCGGACCAATTCCAATTCAAGTTCTTGTGCTTCCTTGACGAAGATTTCTCCTGTATTCCTCCTTGACTGTGGGGCTAGGATTGCTTCAATTTCCATCCTTATAGGTCAGACGGTCAAAGATTCAGTTTCCACTTTCCTCCTTTCTCTTGATCACACATCTTGGTTGATAATTGCTCTAGAATTTATTGATAATTACTTTGCCAGGTTCTAGATCAGCTGCTAGCAGAGGCACTCATAGTGCTAGTTCCAAAGCTCAAGTTTACCAATTGAAGAGCTTGATTCCCATTTAATGATGTGATTTGGCTGTTACAATGATTATCATATAAAGACTTAATCACCACTCATTTGTACAAATTGTAAATGAATACACTGCTTTCACAAATCACACTTCTTGTTTCAAGTTTTCAAGTACTGTCTAAAAATTTCTCTGGCCATAGATGAAACCCACAAAATCTATTTCCAAGATTCAATGAAGAAAGTCCTTCATTGGATCATCCTGGTGTACCCTCTTCATTCGGTATGCCTCCATATCCTCAGGTGTAACCTACAAGACAAAAGGCATTGAGAATCACCGCAAGAGGCAGGTGGACAGCATAGAATATAAACATACCTCATCGTTCCACTTGACATTATACTTGCGTTTTCTTTCATCCTTCTCTTCTCTCCTCCTATCATCCTTCTAAGCATAGCAAACAGACAAACTCATAGAAATCATTTTATTTCCTCACAATATTCAGGAAACCTTTATCTATTTGAACCCCGCATAAAAGAGAAATAAGATGATTGTCGTTTTATCCAAGAGACTTGGATTCCCAAACCCAACTTTCAAAGAGGGAAAAGGGAGTACAAGTCCGTTCCAACAGACCATAGTGGTGTTTCAAATTGTAGAGTAAATAAATAGTGGATTTCTCTTCATAGCGATCTAATCTACAGCTGAGAAGGTGTTTATTGAACCAAAAGATTTAACACCAGAAAGGTTTGAAAGTCAGATTGCAGAAAGATAAATTAGAGAATTTTACGTTTTTAAGTGCTTCTGCCAGTTTTTTCTCGTCCAAAAATAAAACATCGGGTACTTCAGAACCCCAAGTAGCAAGCCTTTTCTCCTCAACCAGTGTAGCTGTTTCCGAATTTTGAATATAATTTCAGAGCCAATCCAACGTTGATATGTTACTCGCTGATTAATAAAAACAGATGCAAATGCACACCACAGATATGATAACACAGTCAAATTTTATTTGCTGTAAAATAGCTAAAATAAAAGGATGCCAAGGAAAAATATAGATATGATGCATGACCCCAAGCTAAAGGATGCGAAACCATAAAGGACACAGTAATGTGTAAAGGATGCATTAATGTTCATTCATGTTAGGAGGAGATCACACTGATTAGCTCAAACATAATAAAATATATGTGCTAAAGTTAACAATACTAAACTGAAAATAACAACTCAAATGAACTAAAATAAGAACTTCAAGAAACCGTGATCTGAACACTATAAGAATAGTAAATGTAAACCACAATAGACTGTAAACAACACTTATCTTCTATTCAAGCCCACATGCCTAAGTTTATACAGATCGATGCTTCAATGTCACAGGAATGAACACCACCATACTCGAATCAACCCAAGGTAAAGATACAAAAATATAGCACTCAGAATAGGCTGATTATACACAAAATAGGAACTCTCTCAATTGATAACACACGGTTCACACAAGAACCAGCCCTCAAACAGTGTAATCACACAAGATTTACAAAATATTGTGAAGAAAACAAGAAATCAAACTGGGCAGATTTGATTTCTACAGAAAAGAGAAGAGAACTCTCAAAAAACGGCGCATATACGTGAATGGAAGAGTCCAGAAGCCAAGTGAGTCTCAAACCCTAGAAAATTCGCTTTTAAATGAGTCACTTAAAGGTCGCCCATTCAACGGTGTAGGAGGTGACACTTGGTAACATCACGAGCGTTCAAACTCAGGTAAGTGAAATTACTGTTTTAAGCCTCTTCACAAATACGTTTTTGCACCAAAAACAAAACCAATAGAACTTTGGGCTGGAGTTCAATTCCAGCTGGGCCAACTCAATTATTTGGCCCAATAGCCATTGCATCATTGTGCCATATTATCCTTTCAATTCATGTTCCTAAAAATGCAAGTTCTGTATAATAACATTGACACATCTGTTAAACCCATCAGTAAAATGATGTTACCAAGTCACGCATAGGATCGTCTGCCTACCATCATCTTACTATTTATTTATTCTCATTTCAATGCCTATTAATCTTATGCAAAGCTTTCATTCATACGAAGAAAAGATGGTCCTTGTACTATCTTATGCAAGCAAATTTTATTATTTAATCATCTTTTCCTTTTTGTTTTCTTCATTTTTAATGAATAATCATCATAAAGCTTCGTATATCCACAATAACCTCTAGTCTTCTATAGGTTGCAAACTTGCAATGTTTAACAACTTTCAAACTATTATTCAATTACTCTATCCTAGTAATAATCAATATCAGATTATGGAAATTAACAACCTTCAGTGATCTCTTTGCAAGCTATATTAGCCTTCATTAGATCTGCTGCAGCTTCAGAAGCTTCGATACCAGCTGCACCGTTGCAATAGTTGTTTCTTACCGTCTGTTGTCAGCATTTGTAACCCACTGATGATCCTTCCACCAGGAACCGCTAACAGTTTCGTGAATATTAGTGTAAGTATCGTCTTCATACTTGCTCTTTGGGAGGGATAATTCCTAAATATGTAATAAATCCACTAAGTTAGACCGTACACCCAAGGGTTCTAGCAAGTACATATCAATGGAAGGGAAATTATATTTGTTCTAATAACTTAAATACCAGAATTTTACCCCCTTCATTATTCCATCGGTTCTCCCTGTATAACTGCCTAAGATTTTTGAAAGATTCAGAGAAAAGCAAGTGTGAATGCATATCTACATCTACACATTAAATAAAGTTAATCAAAGATCCAAAAAAGGTTGAACAATAAGACCAGTGATCAGGTTGCACGGACACGGAAACATGATTATTCTAAAAAGTAGGACACGAACAAATTGGGGACACATCAATTTAAATTCTTTATTTTACATTTATATATTATATCTATATTTTATACTTTTTAGTATAAGAAACGACACATGCCGTATCAAACGCTTATACAAGAAATGTCCTATAGTATCCCTTAAGCTCTAGAAATTTAAAACATATATGAAAATAGGATAATGCATGAATCTTGTCAGACTCATGGAATGTCCAAGGAGTGTCAATGTCTGATATGCGTCGGACACGCCGTCCAGTAGGATTATCCGTGCTTCGTAGCATTGTGACTATTTTCCCTATAAACAGCACATGAGAAAATAATTCAAGATGACGAGACATCCCTTCAGAACTCGTTTGCATGCAAATATAAAGAAATAATAAAACAGACAGTTTTTTGCTTAATAAAGATTGAAGAAGCACATTAGTCCATACCTGGCCTTTTATGATTCTTCCTGCACGATCATAATCAACTTCTCTTTCACTTTGACCCAGTAAAAGTTCCCTTAAAAGTTTTTCATCAGTAGCTGCATTACCGTACTTCTCCATGACTCTCTTTACGTTGAAACTTCAATTTTTCCTTATTGATGTTGAAATTTTTATAAAGCAATTCAGCTTCTGATGGAGCTGCTTGCATATGGACATCGTGACCTTTGTCAAATGCTTCCCAAGCATGAATTTTGAGCTGTTTGAATTCCAATGCTTGACCACTCACTCTTTTGCAATTATCTCCCTAAAAATTTGACAAACCAGATATCAACATGACATGACACACACCTATAGCAACAGAAGTAACAGTAAAATCCATGTCATTCGGAGGCATAGAACTTCTCATTTGGATCCGTATCTGGAAGAGGATCTTCATGCATAGAACGGGTTTTGGGGTCATAGTGGGCAGAATTAACATCAAGGTTGAGAAGATATTTTGCAGTATCCTCTCGAATACACAAGTTCCTGATAAACAAAGAGTGTTGACTAGTAATTTACAAAGGCATTCAGAAGAATATAGCCTACTTCCATGCCCAATATGCTTGCAGAAATTATTTATCACATGCAGGAAGTAAGCAATAAAGAACAATATACACTAACAGTTCCTGTGCCACCACCCCCTGTAGTGCGTAGACGCCTCTCAACCTTTGTGAAGTCCATCTGCTTGCTCTCATCAACCTTGGCTTCATCAACTTTCAGATCATCTTCATTACCTTCATCATCACTAACTCCACCTTCTTCATTTTGGTTACCATTTTTCTCCTCCAACTTCTTAAGCTGTTGCTCCTTCAAATATTTCCTTCTAGCCTCACTGGCTTCGTACCCTTCAATTACGTGCTTATAAGAAGCTGCATCATAACCATTCCAACGGTCTCGTTTACCCTCATAATCCAGCTCGTAGGTCTCTATCTTCTCATCTGGGACAATACTTTTTCCTGTCCACTTTGCCCCCAATTTCCGGGGTCTGTCCATTCATGTTTTCATATCACGAGTCATAGCTCCACAACTGTAGCAACACGAGTAGTTCAGCATTACTTGCATGCTTTCCAAATACCTCAAAGAGAATATTATTTAAGTTAGAATATAACAAAAAAAAAAATTGTTCAATTTTAACAGAAACTTATATTTCTTCACAACCAGTACTAGAGTAATTAGCCAAGGTCTCTCTCGCCCATCTATCCTATTGATATATATTCTACTAGGGATGTTTTGCTTCCATGACAACCATGGTATGGGAATCAGATAGGAAAAGGATAGTCTAGACATGCTTTCCTCAACTCATTGCCAAAGAAAAGTGAGATTTTTCACCATAATTTCACAATAAAGGCTAACAGAATATATTTTTATTGGGAGAAGTTATCATTGTAATTTTGGATCCAATTATTCTTGTATTTTCTCAAGGAAAGTTTAGATGCAGTATTCGTGTCTTGTCCCGTGGATGCCAGGTCCTATATTAGATGTAATAAAGCAGGAATTGGTGCTCAAGGTGAGCAATAATTGGAACGCACATGAAACGTGCTCATTAATGAAATAAGTGGATTGAATGCTCACTCACTCAAACTATGCCCAAAATCAACAAGTCAAATCCGAAAATTTCATTTTGTTACATGGAAATCAGAATTAAATTCAAAAGATAATTAAAACATACACATGGACACCTGGAAGGAACACGTGTACAACTGGAAGGCACTTATTAAGACGTCCATTTAAGAAATATCAAATGCATCAATGCACTCATGTTCCCCAAGAGGTATTCAAACCGGAAAAAGCCAAATAAACCCATCGATCCAGCCATCAAAAAGCTACGATGTAAATGAATCTCAATAAGTATTAACTATTTTTACTACTGACAGATATCTTCAGATCCACTTCTTCTACAAATACATGAGAAACTTCCTTTATTCTGATAATTTCCTGCAGTAGCAGATTTAAAGTCAAGCAATAAAATTTAACCAACCATTTGCAATGTTGAAGAGCTTGCACAAATTAATCACTGTGTTCTTATGCACCAACTGAACTCCCCAAGCCCTATTTCCAATCCCCATTCTAGGAAAAAAGGGCATAAAGAAAAAGTACTTGAACATTCCGTGACCATCGTCAATATCAACACAATGCAGGGAGAAACAAACACTTGTCATACGCATACAGGGAGAAGAGACCGAGAGAGATTTCACATACTTTTCACAAGCACCCTTCCTGAACTCGTCAGCCTGAAAAGTCTTTGCACCTCTGTCATACCATGACTTGGTATAATTAGGATCATATTTCCACTTCCTTTGATGTTTCAAACTCTATAAGGAAAGAAAGGAAAATTTGGTATAAATTTCAACAATAGAGATATTCATCTTAAAATTGGAGTACATATGCATTACCTGAAGCAGTAGCCATGATTAGTGTTGCAGAAATAGAAATCCCAACAATTTAGGTCGAAAGAATGCATCAAGTTCGACCGGATTGATTGAAATAATTAGGAACCCTAAAGAGATAGGAATTGGATTTGGGATTGTTTGCTTAGGTTATGAGCAGTGTTAATTTGATTAGTTGGAGGACTGCATTCTCATCTCAAAATAGTTGTAATACCAAATTGTCGCATAAGAACAGATGGAGGACTTGAATTGTCGCCAAGCAATTGTTTGTGGACTAACTTATATACAGAGAATAGTTTGAGGATCAAATTGAAAATTGTGAATAGTCAGAGGACCGTAAAATCTTCTGTATAGTGGGAGGATGAAATTGTAATAAACCAATAGTTGTAAAATCCTCTGTATAGTTTTTAGGGTTAGGGTTTATAATTTGGTTCTCCATTTATCTACATGTAAAGGTTAGTCCTACAACTATAAAAAACAAATATTTCATCCTCCAGTTATGTAAAACATATAATTTGATCAGCCATCTATCTATATCGTGCAATTTGGTCATCCAATAACACAGAAGATATGATTTGACCCTCAAACTATAAAAAGCACGTAACTTAGTCCTCCAACTATCTGAAACATATAATTCAGTACGCCAACTATATAAATAATATCATTAGGTCATCAAAGTATTTAAATGATAAACTTTAACCCTCCAACTATCTAACTCTTAAAATATGATCCTCCAACTATGTGAATCAGATAATTCCATCCTCCAATTATCCGAATCAGATAATTGGATCCTTCAACTATGAGAAAGAAATAATTAAATCCTCCAACTATCATAATCAGATAATTCCATCCTCAAACTATCAGAATAAGATAGTTTGATCCTCCAACTATCAGAATCAAATAATTTGATCCTCCAACTATCAGAGTCAGATAATTTGATCCTCCAACTATCCGAATCATATAATTGGATCCTCCAACTATCAGAACCAGATAATTTGATCCTCCAACTATCAGAATCCGATAATTGCATCCTCCAACTATCATCATCAGATAATTTGATCCTCCAACTATCAGAATCCGATAATTTGATCCTCCAACTATCATCATCAGATAATTTGATTCTCCAACTATCAGAATCAGATAATTGCATCCTCGAACTATCAGAATCAGATAATTTGATCCTCCAACTATCATGATCAAATAATTTGACCCTCCAACTATCATGATCAAATAATTTGACCCTCCAACTACCAACAGCAGATAATTTGATCCTCCAACTATCAAATCAGATAATTTGATCCTCCATCTATCATCATCAGATAATTTCATCCTTCATCTATTATCATCAGATAATTTCATCCTCCGACTATCATCATCAGATAATTTGATCCTCCATCTATCATCATCAGATAATTTGATCCTCCAACTATCATGATCAAATAATTTGACTCTCCAACTATCAAATCAAATAATTTGACCCTGCGACTATCAATAGCAGATAATTTCATCCTCCCACTATGTAAAACACATAATTTCAGCCTCCAACTATCAAAATCAGAATCAGATAATTTCATCCTCCCACTATGTAAAACACATAATTTGACCCTCAAACTTTCAAAATCAGACAATTTCATCCTCCAACTATCTGAATAAGATAAATTAATCCTCCAGCTATCACAAGCATATAATTTGATCCTCCAACTATCATGAACATATAATTTGATCCTCCAACTATCAACATCAGACATTTGATCCCCTAACTATGATGAGCATATAATTTGATCCTCCAACTATCATAATCAGATAATGTGATCCTCCAACTATCATGAGCATATAAGTTGGTCCTCAACCTATCATGATCAGATAATTTCATCCTCCAATTATGTAAAACACAAAATTTCAACCTCCAACTACGAAAATCATATAATTGGATCCTCAAGCTATCTAAACAATATAATATGTACCTCCAACGTTCTATGACATATAATTCGATCCTCAAACTATTCAAAACATAAAATTTGAAAATGAAACTATCAAAATCATATAATTTGATCCTCCAACTATTTTAAACGTATAATCTAACCCTACATCTATCGAAAACATATATTTCGGTCCACCATCTATCTAAATCATATAATTTTATCCTCTTACTATTGAATACATATATCTTGATCCCCCCAGCTATCTAAAACATATAATTTGACCTTCCAACTATCGTAATCATATAATTTGATCCTCTAACTATTTGATCCTTCATCCAACTCAAATAATTTGAACCTCCAACTATCTAAATTGAAACTCGAACTATCAAAGCCATATATTTGGATCCTCAAACTATCAAAACATATAATTTGATCCTCAAACTCTCTAAATAATGTAATTTGATTCTCCAATTATGTAGAATAAATAATCTGATCCACAATCTAGGCCATATAATTTAGTCCTCCATCTATGAAAAAGATATAATTTGACCCTCTATCAAATTAAATCATTTAATTAGATCCTCCAACTGTCTAAAACATATATAATTCGACTCTCCAACTATGTAAAAATATAATATGATCCTCCATGTATGAAAAATTATGTAATTTGATCCTCCAACTATGTATAATTCGATCCTCCAGCTATGAAAAACTTATAATATGAGTCTCCAACTATTGAAATCATATAATTCGATCCTCCAACTTTATTCTCCAACTATCTAAATCGTATAATTGGATCCTCCAACTGTCTAAATCGTACAACCAACTATAATTTGAACCTTCAACAATTATTATATATCTAAGTTGAGGATTATATTTGTAATATTATTATACCTTAGCACTTTATCCTGACCGTTCAAATTCAAGGAGCACGGGAAGAATATTTGAGGGTCCGACCACCATCGATTATTATATTATTGCAAAATTATGTACCCAATTAAAATCATATTTAAATTTAAGTTAAAGTCAAACAATCAATAATAACCACATCTTTTATGGGTCTCACAATTCTTCAACCACACATTTCAAAAATTTCTATCACAATCTACTAAAATTTTAATCTCCACCAAACACTCACCTATTCACTGCTTCTTAATCAATTCTACTTCACAAAATTTGGTGGGCCCAACAAAATCAAATCTGGTTTTTGTGTGTACGTATCATTAATTAGCCAGCAGTGCGATGCATACATAAGGAAACGTGGTTCAATCTTATGCGATTTTTGCATTGTTTTCGAGGTAAATTATTTATTATGATTTGATATTTTTTTCAAATCAAATCAAATCATTTTTTATGGTTTAATTTGATTTCAAACCACGCTTTTAACGATTTAAAATAACAACTTTTAAACGTGTGAAAAAATAAATATATCGATCAAAAATCTGAAATAACACATTAGTTAAAAACCTTCAAAACATAAACATTAAAATATAATATAATTAATGCGAACAAGCTTAAAAAAATAAATTAATACAAAGTTGAACCATAAAAGTATTTCCAAAATTCACTTTTCCCCAAAATGAAAATAAGAAACATGTTATCATAAAATCTTTATTAATCTAAAGAGCTAAATAAAGCCGACTAGTAAGTAAGTTTGTTGAAGCATAAATTGAACTATTACATA